GAGAACGCTCAAGTTTTTTAAATAAACTGAAAGTTAAAAAAAACAAGTTTCGGCAAGGCATTTTAATGGAAATAATATTGAACTACAAGTAGCGGCACGAAACTCTAGCGCTGACCGTTATTGCGCAGAAGTAAAAAATAAGGTACCTGAAGGGGGCTAGCGAAATGAAGAGCGTCGATTGGCTCTCCAGTCGCATTTTGTCCCCCCGCGACAGTACACATGCGCAGCAATCCCCTCCACGTATCGGCCAGCGCTAGACTTACGTGCCGCTGCCTATACTTTGAAATACTTTTGTATAGCATTTTTAAATATGGACCAATAATTTAGTAGTTATAATATTGATTATATAATTGACCTATTCTTTTCTTGATAATTGTATTTTAATTTATTATAATTGACAGTGAAAATAAAATGGCAGAGTGACAGCACACTTGTTCTTTATTTGTTACGTCTCCCAAAAAGTAGGTTTTAATATGGCTGGCTTTGGCTTATATAGGCTCATCCCCTCCAAGTGGCTGCCATTTGCGGTTGGCAGGCATGGCGGTTGGTTGGAGGGTTGGTCAACATGGCATGGCTTGGCTTTGGCATTGGTTATGGCATTGGCTATGGCATTGGCTATGGCTTTGGCTATGGCTTTGGCTATGGCTTTGGCTTTGGCTTTGGCTTTGGCTTTGGCTTTGGCTTGGCTTTGGCTTGGCTTGATGTGACTGGCGACGTCACGTCCGTTACACTCGGCCATCCTGAAACAGTTGTTCCCGTGGGAACAACAACCACGATTAGCTCTCTAATAAATCAAACAGATCTTCGGTTTCAAGTTGCTCATCTGAACTGCTGGCACTATCAGATACAGTAATAATGCTTTTATAGGGTCTTAACGAATCGGCAGATACTAATCCAGTAAAACTCTTATATCCACGTAAACCATTTAGTGTACTTCTCATTTGGTACCTATCATTGCCCACTACCTTAGTTACGACATAAGGACCGGAATACAAGTCGTCAAGTTTAGTGTTAACTTTGGATGCGCTACAAGTCGGTGTTTGTCGCCATAGGACAAAATCACCCTGCTTATAGATGTGAGCAGATTTTCGTTTTTTTGTCAAAGTAACGTTTCATTGTAGCACTCGCTTTTAGTATCCTATCAGATGCTTTCTTTCGACGCGACTCTACTGGTTCAGAAACACGCCCGGGAACCGCAACATCACATACTGACCTACCAGCCCGAGCAAACATCAAGTCGTAAGGTTTGTAAGTGGTGGTGTTATTAATTGAGTTGTTAATTCCCCAAATTATGTCGGGCAAAGAGTTAGCCCAATTGCTAGAGGCTTCACTGGGGTCTGTGGCTCGTAATGCATCCAGTATTGTCCTATTTGTACGTTCCACTTGACCGTTAGAACGCGGACAAGCAATAGCATTGAGAGTATGTCTTAACTGTTTATCATTCGAAAACTTCTTAAAGTTCCTACTCGTGAACGCCTTTCCGTGATCGGTGACTATGTGATCAGGGAAGGAAAATAAACTAAATATCCTTCGTAGTACACGAATAGTTTCGATCGAGTTGACAGTACGCGTTGGCTCAGCTATTACAAACTTAGAAAAACCGTCTGTCATAACGAGCATATATTGATACCCCTTATTTGTCTTAGTAAAAGGGCCAATGTGATCAATATGAACCATTCTCATAGGCTCAGAGGGCTTAGGAATTGGATGGAGTTTACCTTCTTTTTTGCCGTAGCCCCCTTTGCCGTATGCACAATGAAGACATGCAGTCACATATTTCTTTATAAATCTTGTCATTTTAGGAAACCAAAATTCGTTTTTGATTAATTCGTTACAGCGATTAAATCCTACATGACCAATGTCGTCATGGTGCATTTGCATTATTTTCCATCTGGCCGAATTTGGAACCACCAACCTATTCCCGTTCAAGGTTTTACGATAAAGCCTATTATCAATAATTTCGAAATTATTTTTTTAATTCCGATCCGCCGGTATTATCTTTTAATTGACTAACGATTGCGCTCAACTTATCGTCCTGACATTGCACCGTATAAAACCAATCCGTCACTTCTAGACGATTCACGCGTTCATAACGTCAACCAGATGTCTACTAAGCGCATCTACATGTTTCATGTGTTCTCCCGGCCTATATTCGACACTTATATCGTAATCTTGTAAAGAAAGCCACCACCTCGCGATACGTGGTATAATGTCGCGTTTAGTAAGCGTAGCGCGGACTGCTGTACAGGCAGTAACAATCTTAACTTTTTTTTTCCCGACGATGTATACGCGAAAACGACGCAAAGAGTCCACGACCGCCAGAGTTTCAAGCTCATAACTATGATACATGCTTTCTTCTTTACTTGTCACTCCACTAAAATATATAACGGGTTGCAACGTAACGTCAGTCTGCTTTTGTAGAAGTATACCGGCAATTCCCAATTTACACGCGTCAGTATGGATTTCCGTAGAAAGCGCGGGATCATACAAAGCTAAAACAGGCTTGGAACATAAACACTTTTTAAGTTGTTCAAAACTATTGTTTTGATCACTTCTCCATATCCACGAAGTTTCTTTTTTTGTTAAATCAGTTAAAGGGCGGGCAATGACAGCGAAATTGTGAATGAACTTTCGAAAATAACTACACAACCCGATAAATTGACGCACACTATGAACATTGGTCGGTGTCGGAAAATGAGAAACTACCAATAATTTTGACTCGCCTGGCTGAATACCATTTGCCGATATCTCATGACCTAAGTAGGTACGTAATTTCTTTTTGCAAGAACGAACACTCACGCATGTTTAATTTTAAGTTTTCAACTTCAAGTTTGACAAGAACCGCTTGCAGAATATCTAAACTTGTAAAATATGTTTTGCCCGCCAATTTCGAAACCTGATCATCTATGTTTGGCAATGGAAATCTTTCTTTTACGGTAATAGCTTTTAGGTCACGATAATCAACGCACATCCTACTGTCACCGTTTTTCTTTTTCACTAGGATGACTGGGGAGGCATAACTGGATTCGGACTCTTTTATAATGCCGGCATCTAATAATTCACTGACTAGACTGGACTATCGCTTGTTCACCATGTGATAATCGATAAGGCTGGCGATAAACTGGCTGATCACTAGTAAGCTTAATTTTCATCTGCACTAAATCTGTGCACCCTAAATCTTTTGTACCAATAGCAAAACAATGTTTATATTGTATTAATAAACCGATAAGATCCGAATGTTGTTTATTATTTAACGGTCCTATCTGTATGTCGTCTAATTTTACACCTCCTATACATAAATTATTAGTTAAGGGTTGACCTAAATTATTGGCATTATAATTGGCAAAAGTATGGCAAGCAGCAAGGGATAGTACCTGGCTATACGGCTGTAACGGGAATTCTTGGCAGCTTTCAGCCCTGGCTAGGACCTCTCCCGGCGACTACACGATAACCTCGCACCCGGTGTTGACGACTTTGATGTAACCATCTTCGCCACGGAGCAGGGTAGAGGGACAAGAGTAGACCACCACCCTCGTAGTGCCGAGGTGGCGTTACCACATCGTTGCCGACCTTATCCTCCAGAACGCGCACTTGAATGATGAAAGAGCCAGATGGACTTTTGTTGTTTTGTTTTTCTTTGTTGACTTCGCTGTTGATAGGTTGACCGAACAAAAGATTAACGTCGGCCATCTTGATGCTAAAAATGCTTTTTCCATTGCTCCCACGTATAATCGTAGTCCTACAGGCGATTATACCTCTTCTTCGCTTGACCTCGTAGTATAACGTATATTCCTCACTGTCAGGGTCGAATTACGGAGTCAAAAATGCAGCACGATGTACTTGTAACTTATTTAGAGCTTCATCAACACAGTCATGTTGAAGATCGCGTAGAGCCTTTATTACTTCTTTTTATTAACAGATTCTTGAGCAGCTACAGTGCCGGCGGTGAAGGAGTATCCTCATCTTCCTCCGACATTGATTCATCAGAAGGTCGAAAAACTTGTGGTCGAGGTCGTTTTATCCCACTTCTGAGTATAATTGACCTATTCTTTTCTTGATAATTGTATTTTAATTTATTATAATTGACAGTGAAAATAAAATGGCAGAGTGACAGCACACTTGTTCTTTATTTGTTACGTCTCCCAAAAAGTAGGTTTTAATATGGCTGGCTTTGGCTTATATAGGCTCATCCCTCCAAGTGGCTGCCATTTGCGGTTGGCAGGCATGGCGGTTGGTTGGAGGGTTGGTCAACATGGCATGGCTTGGCTTTGGCATTGGTTATGGCATTGGCTATGGCATTGGCTATGGCTTTGGCTATGGCTTTGGCTATGGCTTTGGCTTTGGCTTTGGCTTTGGCTTTGGCTTTGGCTTGGCTTTGGCTTGGCTTGATGTGACTGGCGACGTCACGTCCGTTACAATTAATAACAAGTATTTAAACGTTTTTATTAATTAGAAAAAAAGTATTAAGTAAATTAATATTTCAAAAAATAAATATATTAATAAATTATTTTAAATAAATACTTATCAAGAAATTAATAATGGTTAACTTTTGCATAATGCATATATGGATTAAAATTATCGCAAAGTCACTTCAATTACCTCCTAACGGGATACTGCCTTTGTAGGTGATTAATGCCTAACACGTTATGGACTTCAGAGTTGAAAGTCGCAAGTTCAACCGCCATAACACGGTTGCGTTCGACTGCCTCATGATCCTGTATAATATAGAAACACTGTTTTTGATGAGTTCTTTTAATAAAATCAACAACTCATGGCATCAAAATAATCGAAGAAATGTGTCATATTATAAATAAATCAGTTGTGGCAAGGATATGAAATCATGGAAGCCTACGTTGCAAGGGCCAGGTAATATTAAACAAAACAATAAAATTAGATATACTTTATTTAAAAAAATATAATATTTTATATTGTATAATTACTGGTAATCCAGATACGTTGCTTAATATACTGTGAAATTATTCAACTTATAGTATACAAATTCAGTCTTCATAATTTGCAGGAATGTTGGGTGGCACACTCTCAAATAGAACTTGTACCAGGAATGTAAATTTATCTAAAAAGGAAACAACATTTTAGCCAAATATTAATTTAATTTAGTTTTTAAAATTGGTCATCCACCTCTAGTTCCGTGCTAAAGAGCATTTAATTTATGTTTATAGGGATGCACTTATAAAATAAAACTAAAAATTACTTTACTTATTTTAGAGGTTTCTCAGTTTTTAATAGTACAAAAAAATTATGTAATTAATGCATCTAAGAACTTTCTATTTTGAAAAATGTCTGAGCTTAGCTCTTATGTAGGATTTATATATTTAATTATATACATATAAGTAAATTTTTTATATATTATTATTTTTATATATTTTATACTTACTTAATAATTTCGTGGGCGTCTTCTTATAATACACAAATAGCGTGTAAACTCCGATTCCTATGACTATAAATGCTATGGCCATTAAGTATTTAATTGACGGGTCGTGCACTATTGGCAACACCGAAAGGAATATTGCAACTAATAATACAAAACAAGGAACTAATGTTGGTACTCTGTATGGACGCGGCAAATGGCCATGCGTCTTTCTTAGGACGAGCAACGCGACCATAGCCAGTCCATAGAAGAACCATAAGAACCAACTTGCGAACTGTATCAATGTTGCAATATTGCCAACGATGATAAATATTGTGGTAATAAATGCCTAAAACAAATAAACATATATTAATAATGAAATGGTTATTTATAAATATATAACATTTAATATTGTCTGTTAAATTTCTCTGTGGGTAAGTTGGTAACCCTCAATCTGTATAGAATGAAGCTAAATTTTATTAATAACTTAGAATAAATCTATAAAATATGCCACTGTTTCGCCATTGTAAGTTTTTTCTCATATTATGTTTATGGAAAATTTAATCATTAATAGATGCGACTGACTAGGACTATGGCTTGAACTTCATGACGCGAACGCTAAATCGACACTTGAAAGTCTTAGTTTATCTAAAGTCTTTAAAGTAAATAAGTTCGGTTTATGAAAGCAAAAGTTAAGAAGTATTACTGTACATGAAGTATATCTTAAAATTATTTGAAATTCTTTAAAGAACCTATGGCATCCATACCATAACACTTACTTGTAAGGCTACAGCTGGCGCTGGAGTCAGTCTTTTTATATTAACAAAAGAAAATGCTTCAATCATATGGCCACCTCGAGCTGCCGTGTAACACACCCTGTAATAATTAGTAAACATTTTAATAATTACATTGAACAATTACATAAAACATATCCTATCTATATTGATTAATTGTGGATAGTGTAAAAATATTATTTGCTTAAAAAGGGAAGTATGAAGGTTTATATGTTGCCATTTTCAAGTTAATTTTTATCATAAAACATACCTATTCATATCCTTAGCTTATCTGGAGACAGTTGGAACAATGGTCTTTACAGTTTAGAACCTCACCTCGTGACTCCAAACTGCACGCTCATAGCACAACCAAATGTTGCGATGGCAACACCAAGAGGTATTAGGAAGCTACCGGCACCGAGAACTCGATCACCAAACGCGACAGCCACAGCCGGGACTGAAGTCATCTCAGTGAAGCTTAGAGCAGACATGTAGGCTACGTTCATAAATACGTAGAGTGCTGTGATTAGAGGCACTGCTATGGATATGCTGAGAGGGACATTCCTATAAAAAATACAAACTGTGTAATTGACAGGCTTGCTACAGTGAAGATATGTAAACAAAAAAAAAATATATCTTTTAAAATTACTACCCTTTTATTCATGAAAAGCGTCAGTCATATCAAATTTATAAAGTTAAGTAATCATTAAGATTATTTTTTATTACTGTTATCTTTAAAATCTTAATTAGGCCTTCAAAAAATAAGTATACTCAAAGCATATTTTCAATATTACAATATTTGATAATCTCGTAGCAAATTCATCATGAATATACTCAAAAAAATACTAACACAGCTGGATTAATAATTTCTTCAGTAACGACGGTGACGCTGCTCCATCCGTCATAGGCCCATAGGCCTGAATATAGAGCAAGGGAAATACCTCCTGCGGTTATTTTGTCGCCTTCAAAGCCTTTTTGAAGGTATTCATTATTGCCTTAAAAACGTTAGAATTAGATTTTACTTTAACCTATAGTGACACAGATAATCTTTCCTAAGAATCTCTTTAGCAACAATTCATTGAAACTAAATAAATAAGAGTAATGCACTGTTAATAAATAGGTTGTTTTACACAAACTACAAAATTGTATGTCGGCATTTACATCAATACTCACCAGTTGCAATTACATAAATTCCTCCTCCAATAACAATGAGGCAAGCAAAAATTTTAAACAAGCCAAACACATTTTGCACTTTAACAAATAATTTCACACTTGTTATATTTATGTAGGTCATAACAACTGAAACAAAATTTTATTATCATTTTTAAACTATCATGATACCATTAAGTATACTATTGGAACATCTAGAAATATACAGATGACTTAAGTAAAAAATAATGCCATGGATTGTCTACAACCATATTGTCCAGGATAGGAATAAAAGACATGTTTAAAAAAATTGTAGTGTTAAAACCAAGACAAGTTAATAGTAAAACCTTAATAGTATTAATTATACACAGGAGTAACTTTAAATACATTTTTATTAAACATATTACATAATATTATACTTTCTACAAAACTTTTTTGCAATTCATGCTAATGTTTATATCATTGGTAAGCTAATTTAACTTGATTTGTATTATAAGGATTTTTAGTAACAATAGAGATATCTTTTAAAATTTCAATAACTGCATAGTTTTCATCTGTAATTTCAATGTATCCACTTGATTCTTCATTCAATCTTTCTTCCATGAGTTGCTAAAAAAATAAAGTCTAAATTAAGATGTTTACAATATCAAATTGTCCTTAACCATACCGATCTATTAATAACCTTGAAAAGGTGTTACTTATGTATGTACATATAATTTTAATGAAAATTAAAGAGTACTCTCGATATTTTATTTTGTACTGTCATTTAAACAGTGATAAATTCTAATAATATTCAATACTTACACCTAATGTAACTACAATATTTTCATACAAATCAGGAAAGAGTGATCGTATGAGACTCATTAATTCATTCTTCATTTCACGAAATGTTTCTTTTGCTTTGTTAATATTCTCGGATGTTACATCTTTGTATACTCCTCGTGGTTTTAATAGAGCTTCCTTTGCAGGAATTATTAATGCTTTTAACCTAAAAAATATTGTTTTTGTTCAAACTTTATTTTATTGTTATTTTATGTCTATTATATTAAAAGAAATAGAACCTAGTTAGCACATACCTTTCAATTTCATGGGCGGTATCGCTGATAGAGCCTTTAGTAAAAGCAATCAACTCATCCAGATGGTCAGTTTTTTTTCTCATTTCGGATAAATAAAGACTAGTAAGGTAGTTCTTGTCCGAAACAATAGTTGTGTTTGAGTTCTCTATTTCCGTTTGGAGCCCTTCTGCATACAATATAGTTTTAATTGATTTATTATCCTGGTTTTCAGTGGTGTCTAAGTTCAAATTAACAATAGTATTACATGTGTCAATGCAACGCTGTCTCACCCTTTTGTATTCTTCGGTTAATTTTTCATTAGTTAATTTGTTGGATGCCATTTCTTTTGTATCGTTTACTAATGTGAATCAAAATGTGAAGTTTTAAGCAAAATCTTATTCGTATAAAACAGCCTATAGTTTTAAATTAACACTTAAGTTTGTTTTTCAATTTTTAAAAATACAATAGAATAAGCTTGTTTAATAATGCTTTACCGTTATTTCTTACTTCTGAATTCAAATTTCGGATCCTTCTAAACTGACAACTGACACTTAAACACATCAGAGACAATATCATGGCGGTTGTACATATTCGTCGAGGCGTCATATGACAGTGACTGTGTTTACGGTAGTCTGATAACTCTCCGCCGCTCGTCGGGGTCAGCCGTCAGATAAAAGTCAAGGACCTGGATTGCTCCGGTTCACAGTGATAAGTAAGTGAAACGAGTGTGTAGAGCCGCCATTATGTAAAAAATGTAGGTGAAAAGTGTGTTTTCTGAACAATATCTATGGATAACGAATTCAGTGGGACCCAACGAGGGCTTTTGGACGGCGATTTTACGATTCATATGGGCGCTTTAAAATTCAGGACGGCTAGATCATATAGTGCGTTTTCCAATTACAGCACTAGAGCGCATTTTGCGGCATAATGCTCAACGTTGAGTGTTCCAACTACAGCAACGCTTCGCACAATTGAGCACTCTCAAAACGAATGCTCTCGCAAACAATACCAACACAGTGACAGAAAATTGACCAGTATTTTTCTTTAAGTTGGCATTTATCGAAATTTTCGTTAGTAAATATTATTTATTGTTGAAAAATTTGTAAGGCTTTCGTTTCGTCGTAGATTTTGAAAATAATTAAAGTTATTTCAAACTGCTAAAAAAATAAATATTAGTATGGATGAAGGTATAAATAGTTACTTTTTTTATATTCCACATTTAAAATATGAATACAATTTTATTTTAAAATTCGGATCTGTAAATAAATTTACTTTACAGGATTATACTTTAGAAAAAATTGCAATGGTTTTGAAAAAGTATATATTTTTTTAGAAATCATTAAAAAATATTACTCAAAACGTAAATGATGTAAACTTCTTACATGAAACTAAATATTTTACTGTTAATTTAGCTTGTTAAAACCTTATATTCTTTAAAGGTTTTCTCTTATTTCAGTAAAAAAAATTTAATGAAATAATTTGATTATTAAATTAAGCGTAAAAAGTTTTCAACTAATTATTATTGTTTACCACATTATTTATACATTAATGAGGTTGCTAACTCTATTCAGACCATTTTTTTGTCAACACTGACTTAGCGCACTCTGCTGATGCATTTGAAAACTAATTCACGTTCCAATTAAGCTTCAGCATTATGCGGCATTGTGCGGCACTGAGTCGAAAAATGCTCTGTAATTGGAAAACGCACTTAGTTCGGTACAATATGACGTATTATCCACCTTTTAGTATACGCTTATATTATGTATCTGTCCTGTATGTATAGTAAAATTTCCTTATGGAACAGTAAATTATGTAGAGAAATATGTGTATATTTTTACTTCTTCTGGGTAAAAAGACTTCGAATTTAAAAACATTACTGGGATATTTCTTAAATGTTAGCATTTTTCTATGCTATTAATTCTTTTTATTTTTTAGAAGGCAAGTCTTTAAAATATTGTATCATAATTAAGTATTTCGTTACTTTGTATCATTATTTTAGGTATCTGTGTTTATATTCATATTTGAAATGTATGCATTCTCTTATAAAATCAATATTTACCACATATATAATAGTACTACTTTACTTTACTTTACTAAAAACAGAAGCTTTAAAGCTTTCTTTTGTAAATGCACCCAACCTAAATCTAATACGAGTACATAGCTTAAGATTAGGAGTAAACATTGAATTCATTAATTTAAACTGTTGGAATGTTTCTCACACACTTGTCTCTTGGTATAATTTAACATATTCTTAGAATATATTATAAACACATTTTTGTAATATTTCGTAGGTTGCAGCTTAAGCTTAAGCTTACTTAATAATGTTTGATTTTAAGGGTTTCGAACCGAATAGCAAAAAGACAGTAGGAATTTATAAATGTTCCATTTCTATTAAGTAATAGCAATTAGGTTTTGGTAGATATTTTGAAAAATATCAATACTGCAATTACATTCGATCTAACCTTTTTAAACGTGCGCTTATTAACATAAATAAAGAAATTATAGAAAGGTATAATTTCATCATTAAATTAATAAGTCATTTTTAATATTATTAGAGAAAATATATATTGTCTAAATATTTGTTTAGGCTCAAATTAGTTAGACGTAGTTTTGGCATTTCAGGGTGCATCACTTGTTTTAGCGGAATAGCACATATATTATATTAAACATGCAATTACAAATTAGAGGATAAATTATAACTTACACAGTGCAGATAAAGACGTAAGTTTAATTGCTATTGACTTGAAATGCAGATCCAAATCCGTCGTAAAAGGCTGAATGGCATATTCCGCAAAGGTCATTACAATTATAGCTACTTCAGCTGGTCGTAAAATTATCACATAAATAAAAGCACAAATAAATGAAGGAAGTGGTCCCCAAAATTTATGCATTTTCCCGAAAGCTTCTCGAAAGTATGAATATTCAGCTCCAGATTGCCCAAGAAGTGTACCAAGCTCAGCAAATGACAGGGCTCCTGTTGAATAAATATTATTATTTACTTTAAATAACATGTTATTTATAATTTTGTTAGAACTCATTATTTATAATTTCACCGCTATAGGCTTAATACGTATTATTATTATTAAGAAAGAAATGTCTTACCTACACCCACCTAATAATGATATAACTCCAGATAGTGTCCAAATTATAAGACACATAGCAACAGACCCAGAATATTTAAGTGCAAGAGCCGGAGAGACGAATATTCCAGACCCTATCATTACTCCAAGAATTAAATTTACAGCTGAGAATAATCCTAGTTCCCGTTTCAATTTTATTGTACTACCACGATCATTGCAATCTTCTTTTTCATCTTTATCACTATTTTCCAAACAATTTTCCTGGGTCATTTTCGGTCTGAAATAAACAAATGATATCTATTAAACCTTGTATATATATGTATATCGTTAAATGAGAACGCAACGGCTTTAAACGGCTCAGACGAAGTCGGACATCGACTCGTACCTACAACATTCTTAACTACTACACATATTAAATTGGTTCTTTATGAGACATCAATGAGACGAAAGCTGCCGACCGTGACTTTATAGAATTAAAAGTGATTTATATTAATATAATCAAATTATACTGTGAACGAACTTTAGAAACATCTCAATATAACGGAATGAGTATACTGTGTGTGTAATACAAAATTTAAAAATATAATTTAAGTCAACTCTAGAAATGGTTTTAACAGTTTAGGACAGTCATGGGCAAAGTACGGCCCGCGGGCAAAGTGCGGCCCTCGGGCTAGTCTGATCCGGCCCGCGACACGATTTTGATTAACCCCTAAAATTAATTGCACATAGGAAGTGATAATTTTTTTTGTGCAGCTATAATAGTTGTCGGGAGCCTTAGGTATGGTATTATCGCAACACTAACTGAGTTTGCATCGCGTGTTTTCTTTCCGTAGAAAATGTATGTATATCGGTAGTATGGCGATTTAGTGCGATGCGTGTGGCCTGTCCTGTAGATCGTTCGGAAGTTTTTACCATTTTAGTATATAAGTTGTGTATGATGTAAAATTAAACAATAAAAAGGTTTAGGCCTATAACTTGTATTTTTTTTTTTGGCCCGCCTGTACCTTCATCTGGCCCTCTTTAAAAGTTTGCCCATCATATCACTGGTTTAGGAGGAAAACAGCCATACCAGTGATCTTAGTCAACGCCATTTCGTATCTGGTTTTAAAACATTACTTTTACAGAAACATACATAAAATTTGTCATTAAATAGGAATGTATGTTATGAATGGGGAATGGGAAATAACACCTATTCTTGGTCCGTTTGGTCGTGCAAGTAAAATTCCAAATTAAACAGGAAGTGGGAAGTACTCTAATAAACGATCATCAAGTTTTATTGAGGTCAGTTGTCGGAAAGCCAAATAAAAGTGTGACGTTTGCATGAAAGATATCAGGTCAGCAACAAGTTTTTGTATTAAATTCAACAATATCTTGGCAATAGCAAAATATCTTAATAAAATTAATTCTGGTCAAGCCCTAGTATGTCTTTTGATTCAAGGTTTTCAAGCCTTTCATCAGTTCCATGATTATAATTAAACGAAGCTCAAAGTTTACTTAAAAATATTGTACTTTTTATTATTATTTATTTATTTCTGAGCACTAATCGACTATAATACTATAATTAACTAGTCTATTATAGACAGGAGATTTAAAATATGCACTTAATAATAACGTATGGAATAACATTGATAAAAAATAACTAATTTTAAAAAATATATGACATTTTATACGTCATAACAATTTAGTAATCGATTATTAACGAGTAGTGTTGGCCTTGTGGCTTAAGCGTGCGACTCTCAAGTCTCATCCCTGAGGTCGTAGGTTCGATCCGCGCTTCTGCAATAATGTTATAAGTGCGCATTCGAACTCTAGCTCGCATGGTGAAGGAAAACATCGCTAGGGAACCGAAATGCCTTAGACCCAAGAAGTCGACGGCGCGTAACAGTCTGATTATATTCCTTCTTGTTAGAAAAAGCAGTAAATAGATACAGAAATCTGAGGTTTAGACCAAGGGTTATAGCGTCACTGGATTTTGTGTAAATAGTTAATACCTACTCTATATGCCATTTTAAAGATAAAAGGTTGTTGGCTCTTTTGTATTTTGATAAAAATAATCTCTTAGCTGCAAGCGTATCTCAATAAATCACTATGTAGTTTCCAGGCTATACTTCTTTTTCTGTTACTTAAACCTCCCTTTTGTTTACATTTCTAGAATCGTATTGTTGTCAGATGCAGATAGTTATTTACCCTCGACCTTAAATAAAATGCTTCATATGAGGAAAATAATGAAAATAACTATAATTTTTTTAAAATAAACACGAGTTTAAATGATAATTTTCCTTTTGGTACTATTACGTAGTATGTACTTACTGTTTATTAGCAAACAGCTAATTTATTATTTTCCAGCAACGCAATCGATGATAAGCTTCTTTGGTATTGGTATTATAAAATAATTATTGCTATATTGCTTAAATAATATAAATTTTATCTTCACTAAAATAAAAGTGAATAATTTAGAATATGATTTTCATTTGTTGATATTCCGAATATATATCATGATTATTACGCGACGAAGTATTATAAAATCATGAATAGATGTAGGTATATATCATTTATATTTTGATATCAACAGCTATATTTTGATAAAAAGACGCATTGAAACAATAATTATTAAAAACGTTTTGAAGCGGCTTTTTACTGAAATTTAGATACCGCATATTTCTTAGATTGGTACATTTAATTTATAATAATATATACTACCGACGATGCTCTTCGGTAATATAAACTCTTTTTTTTAATATTCCAATAGGCATTTGACTTCCAACTTTGAATCTGTATCGAGAATATGATTTGTGTTTTTTTTTTAAATTGGCACATGTTACGAAAATCACCGATAAATAGTACATCACATTATTTACATTGAAATCAAAGTCACAGTGTATAAAAAAGCGTAACATTATATGCCTTGTTATATAAACGTATCGAACAATAATATAGAAATAATCTATTATTTTTAGCAATTGGCATGATGACACTTCTAACAACGATAACATACTAATTAATTAAAGTCTGGTTACTTTTAATATGACTACAATATTTTTTTTTTTTTTAAATATCACTTATATTATAATAAAATAATATACATTGAAATAAATAACTAAACTTAAGATAAACTAAAATATATCATTAAAAGGAGTCCCTCTAGGCAAGGTTCCGAAGATACTGGCAGCGTTCCCCCTTTGAATTGCTAGACTAATTTTTTGTCCGAGGTAGCTGCCAGATCTTCGGTCTCCTGTGATGTCGACTAACCTTTTGAAATTTAAATTGTACTCAGACATCACTTATGTTATATTGAAATTTGAAACAATAAATTAATAATAAAACGAACAAATGAGAAACTAGTGTTTACCTCCAAAAGACATGTATAAAAGTAAATGTATAAATAATTACTACTATTTCATTATCTTTCTTTTTTATGATCAGCCAAACTTTTTGTTTACGTGTAAGGCTCTTTAAAGTTTCAGAAACATTAAAGCTACCGATTATTAAAATAGTAAACATTCGTAATTATTCTTAGTTCTTGTGGTAGGTACATTTAAGCAACATCCTAAACGATCGCAGAATAATACTGTCATAATTTATTACTCTATTTAAAATAGAATATGAGACGTATTAGATCAAATCCATCAAAGTAAGTTAATTGTCAAACATAAGTACGCATTATTTATGATAAATAGTAACATTAGCCAGTGCATAAATATTTAATATTTTTTAAATAATAGAATTTTTAATACTCTTATTATATACAGCTTATTTAGCTGAGAAAAAGTTAAAGTTTATTTTCTGAACATATTATAATATTTACTTATAATTCGTTTATCTATAACATTTTCAATAAATATGACGTATTTAAATGAAATAAGTAAAAAAAATTACAATTATATTAATTTAGATAAAATTATAAGTTGTACTATAGGGGATACGAGACACAGAAGTCACTCATTTACGACTGCTCCTTGCGATGACAATGTGTATGTGTATTGTACTTGTCAACCCTTCAGAACATGATAAGATAAATGGATTTTAAGATGTACTTATCGATTTAATTAGCACATAAAAGGGCGACGAACTCTTTGCTCAACGTGTGCAATCTGCACTTGTCAAACGATTACAATTTAAATTAGCACATTCGATAATAATCTAACGTTAAAGAGGGCTCCATAACATTAAAACAGGCTGATTTACTAATACTTACCGTATTGTAAATAAATTATTATATATATTTGTCCATAAAAAAGATGAACATGACAGACATTTCCATGAAACCTTTATCAAATGCAATAACTTAAAATTTGACAAGCCAAAACGAATAAATAGAAACGGTCCTTCAGTCGTATTCAAATAATTACAATAAGAAATTCCGATGTTTTATCTGCATACAATTGCAATACTTGGAAGGCAAGAAGTGTCAGTTTAAAAGCTGACAACATTAAAATTATTAATTACGTAAACATAATGCGCAGTTTAGTTTGTTTAAACCTATTTGCTATGTCACACACCTAATAGTAAAACATTGGACAAGTACGTGATTAAGTTAGTTATTCTTGTTAATAATATAGGTACTCGAGGTCAAGTCATGTTGCTAGGTTACTAATAAAATATTGTCTTAAGAGTAATTAAACAAATAAATAAAAACAAGTAGGTCGGCGATATTTTAAAGTTAAAAGCGTCTAAGAACTGGATACACTCGCGTTCCTTATGGTTAACAATAAACTATGTATGTACCTTAAAATTTGACGTAAAACTGCGTTGACTACGGTTTTATCCCAATTATGTTTTTGTGTAAAAAGAGTGAAATTTTCAACGGAAAATCTTATTTTATTAAGATAGAGGATAAGGAAAAGGTTAAATTATATGGAGAAAGCATAAACCATCAGCTTATTCTAATACCATTTTCATATTTCAACATAAAAAAGCTAGTTCGATGCGTGAAGTTTAATAACAAGAAGTTTTAGGTAATCTGGTGGGGCTTTCTTCTCCACAAAAATATTTTTAACTACTGAAGTAGATCACGATACAGGCTTTGCTATTTAAAATCTGTCGTGGACCGTTAGTTTCACCACAAAAAATATTACACTAAAAAATAATTTATGCTATGTACGCATGTTTAAGTATGGCCTGCCTGCCGCCTGCTAAATCATTTAATTCTCTATCATAAAAATACATATTTTGAGCACTGATAGCAGTATGTATAAAAAAAATGTTACTATGTTAGATAAGGTTGATAATATTGAGAAGGCGCCTGTTACATGTTTCTATTTCGATTACTA